AACACCTTGTAAACAAAAACAATGGATAAATATTAACCCACCGTGTAAAGACCATGTAAACAAAAACAATAGATAAATATTAACCCACCGTGTAAAGACCCTGTAAACAAAAACAATGGATAAATATTAACTCACCGTGTAAAGACCCTGTAAACAAAAACAATGGATAAATATTAACCCACCGTGTAAACACCTTGTAAACAAAAACAATGGATAAATATTAACCCACCGTGTAAACACCCTGTAAACAAAAACAATAGATAAATATTAACCCACCGTGTAAACACCTTGTAAACAAAAACAATGAATAACTATTAACTCACCGTGTAAAGACCCTGTAAACAAAAACAATGGATAAATATTAACTCACCGTGTAAAGACCCTGTAAACAAAAACAATGGATAAATATTAACCCACCGTGTAAACACCCTGTAAACAAAAACAATGGATAAATATTAACTCACCGTGTAAACACTCTGTAAACAAAAACAATGGATAAATATTAATCCACCGAATACAAGTCTAGATATCTTCTGGTGCGGTGTCTTTCAAGGTGTTGGATTCAATTTTGCGTATCATACCTTAGGAAGGGTATTCAATTGTTCAAAAGGGTTCTGAGGAGAGCTACTAGGATAATACGTGGGATGGAGAGTTTATCATATAAGGACAAGTTAAGATCTCCGAAACTGTTTTCTCTTAAAAAAGGAAGAGTTAGAGAGGATTTGTCTTTGGGATCTTAGATTCCTAAAGGAATTCACAGTGTCCAAACATAATTTTTTTGTACTTAATGATGAGAATGTTAAGACTAGGGGACACTATTATTACTTTTGGCAGGATAGGAGTCATTTTAAGCTAAACAGTTTTATCTTTATAAGAAAGTGGTTGGCCTTTCGAATGGGTTACCTTCAAATGTGGTGGATGCAGTTAGATTAAGGGAAGGTTTGATAGATATTTGAATTATAAGGGCTGATTTTGAGGTTTTTTTTTTTAAGTTTAGTTTTGGTTAGTGGATGAAACACACTAGATGGAGTGACAGGTCTCTTGTTGTTTTTAAATCTTATGTCATGATACAATGATAGAATGTAAGTGTTTAAGTTGACGAAAGTTTCGTGTATAAGAAAATTAGTTCCACTTAGATTACAATGGAATAACCCAACAATAATCACCTAAGGCTCATGTACGTATATCGAACCCATTGAAAGAAAATAGTTCTTGAAAACATGAGTATTGTTTATATTATTATTGTTTTCCAACGGAAGTTACTAGCAAAGAAATTCTAAACAAATGACCTGATCGAAAAGTACATACCCCCCCCCCCAGTGGCACATCGGTATGTCTGCGGACTTACAACGCTAGAAACCGGATTTCGATACCCGTGGTGGGCTAAGCCCAGATAGCCCTTGGGTAGCTTTGTGCATAATTAGAAACAAACAAACAAACGAAAATTACATAATACAAAAAGGAGTGATAAATTGATGAAATAAAAAAAAAAGTATAGACTACGGGGGTTATCAATTAATCAAAATCTAGCTGTAAACACAAGAAGGAATAGTTAATTTTTCCCAACGTAAACGTAATAGAACAAAGGATAATTAATTGGATAAAGGCACGTATAATACGTTCTGGGGTAATTAATTAGTCTAACCGTAAATGTAATAACATAATTTATATATATAAAGCACAAAAATCCGTGTTTGTCTGTTTGTCCCTTATCTAACTACTCCTATATCGCTGAGCCAATCTCAACCAAACTTTGTGGGATGATAGTTTGGCACAAGGGGCATGTTACTAGGGGGTTTACAACCTCTTCACCCCATTATTGATGTTATTGAGCTTTTATTATTTTTGACGTAAGTTAACGTTAACTACATTCATTATAGCG